CAGCAGGCCGACTCGCACCACGGCCACAACATTCAAATGCACCGAACGGACAAAAGAATGCCACGACCCCAGCCCTGGCCCCGAAATCGCCTGGTAGATACCCAACAACCATCATCCCGCCGCATCAGCACCTCGACCAGCCTTATTGGAGGAAGAAATGATACAACAGCCCCAATCGACCCGAAAGTCTGGTACAAGGAGGGATGGCCGTGAATAGCTTCACCGTCTCGATCGCTCAGCAAACCAATCACTGCGCAATCAAGCCGTGTCCCACCCCAGGAACCGCACAACGGCTCCACCACCACACGACAGAGCCGCCCTAAGCTGGAATTGACAAACCGTCGCCGGAAAGAGAAATCCCAGCCGCAGCAGAAGGGAACTCGAGCCATGGAATTCGAGCGGTGGAGCAGGAGAAAAGGGGCGAGAACCAAGCACTTGGGACCAGAAACCGCCGGCGAAGCACGACGCCTGCGGAGGAAGGCGGACAGATACAAATCAAAAGAGACGATTCAAAAGTGAAGAAGGGTTTTTCGGAGGAAGTTTCGCGAGAACCAATTTTTTAAAATATGTTACTTAAACATTGGATTTATATTAGTAACTAGAGTAGAGTGAATTACCTTTTTTAAAAAACTTTGTTACCATAGATAACGAATGAGATTTTGTAAGCTTCAAATCTATATCTATACTTATATTAAAGGGGGTATTATTTACCAAATTAAGTAGCCAGAAAATGCAACAGCATTTATTGCATTACTATTTCCGTATTATATTATATAAAAAGATATTCTATTTACTACATTTACTATCCAGAAAAGTCAACTGCATTAAATGTCATTACTATTTTGGTATTATAATATTTTATTTATTTAATTGATTTATTTATTTGTTTTATTTTAAAAAGGTAAGTATAATAAAAAGATTTTAATAATAAAAAAAATAAATACCAAATAAAAATGTATACTTTGACTTATTTGATTATATTTGGTATTTGATTATACCAAATATATTCCTATTTAGTATATACATTAAATACTTACTAAAGTATTTATTTGTTTTATTTGTCAAAGTTAAGTATAGATTTGTTTATATTATCAAATCATAAAAAATATTAAATCCATATTGTAAAAAAAAAATTCATATAATTTTATAATAATTCTACCACACTATTTAACAATATTTCTTTTTTATTATATAATAAAATAATAATTAAATATTATATGGTGAACAACAATAAGTAAAACTGTTACTTTCTCTTATATCAAGGGATAAATTTATATGTTAAAATTAAATTTTTATTAATATAAATGTTTTAGTGAGATAATATATTAATTATTTTACAAGCTAGCCCTAACATGCTCATATTTAATGTTTTAAAAGATGTAGAAAAACAACTTATAATAATTTTATTGTTTTTTAGACTTAAACGTTGATTAACACCATAGATTGAGAGTTTATATTTAGTAAAATTCCTAATTGTAATAAAAGAATTAATTTTTTCTATATTTTAGAATATCTTTAAATTCATTATAAAAAAAAAAAGAAAAAAAAAACTACAATGAAAAAAACAAGCCAGCTATATATCGATTTGTTGTACACCTCAAATCACATTTACAATTTTGCTACAAGGAAATGAAACTCATTGATTAAAATATTATTTTGTAAGTAGTCTTAATGTGCAAGAGACTTTAAGACTCCACTTGAATATTATAAAATTTTTATTGAACATCATACAATTTCTTGCGTATTATAAATTTTTATTGAATATTGCATCTTATAATGTAATATTGTCCAAATAAATATATCTCGCGGGTCACGTCCGTACATTTTTCTTTATTCATGTATATAATTATAAGTCTGGATAAATAACCTTAAAATTGTACAGCCCGTGCATCGCACGGGCTCTGTACTAGTTTATATTGAAGGGGGTACTATTTACTAAATGTAGTATGTAGAATAGTCAACCCTAATTAATGATTTGCTATTTTTATCAATCATTTAATTAATGCATCTAATATTTTTGGTATGCAAATCAAATTAGCATTTAATTAGTTCTAAAATATTGGGATGCAATATTAATTTAGGAATATCTATGTAGTTCCTAAAATGTAGGTTGCAATACGTAAATGAAGATTTTTTATTTTTTTTAAATATAAAATATTGCAACACTTACAACTATTCCAGTTATTTTTTTATTTTATTTTACATATAAAATTTAATCAATATTTAATGCATCCTACAAAATTGGATTTAATTTAATTCTCCATACAATTGGTTGTAACTTTTTCAGTTGTACATTTTCCTTATCTAATTCATTCTTATTATCTAATTGTATAGAAATCTGTTCTGATTTTGTGTAATCCTCTAATTGTATTTGTATCATATCCGATAAAATCGGTTTAACAAAAAAAATCCCATAACATCCGATAAGTAAAAAAAAGTACGTAAAATCTTTATTAAAATAAAAGGCTTTATTTATTATCTAATTTATTATCTAATTGTATGGATATCTGTTCTGATTTTATATTACGTACTACAAATTGTGCACCCGTGTTCAGGAGCTACTTAACCGGCAAGCTATGTTGAAATAACTCATTTAGTGCTTCTGTCCCGTGCATACGGTATGTATTTGTATTACACATACTAGAAAATTGTGCACCCCGTGCATCACACGGACTCTGTACTAATAAATGACCTTAAAATTGTGCACCCCTTGCATCACCCGTGTTCACATTTTGGCCTATTACAGGTCACGTACTATATATATCCTGTACATTTTTCTTTATTCATTTATATAATTATAAAACTTGATAAATAGCCTTAATTTTGTGCACACCGTGCATCGCACGGGATCTGTACTAGTATTAATTATACATTATATGTGAAAATTATCTTTTCTAAAAAAATCGAGAGTAATTAGACATTAAAGTTAATTAGCTTTTCTAAAAAAAAAAAAATGTTACCGTAAATAAGTGGGTTGACTTATCAATTTAACAAAACCAATTGAGGATTTGGTTAAATTTTTAAATCCGTACAATCCGATGTAAGCAGCTTTCAAAGGAAAGGAAACTATATATTATCTTTTAGATAAATTTTTTCTTAAAATTAATCGGGTGAAATCAAGTGGGTGAATTAATCTTTTATCATTATAATTTTTTATTAAACTTCATTTTATTATATAAAAAAATAAATTATTCCTAAAATTAATTTAATGTACCATTTCAGAAATAATGACTAGACACACTATATAGTTTTACTAATGACCAGATAATAAAATTGAAATATATTAACTATTCATTAGAATTTCAACATGTTTTTTATTTGTATATTATTGTCAGCCATGATTAATTTATGAATTTTATATTTTTATTTCTTTCCATAATATATTTTCATTGCATAGTGTGTCAAATAAACTATAAAGCTTAGGATGCAAATATAAAAAAAAAAAAAGAAAAAAATCTTTTGATTATAGAAGGAATTTAGTTTTTGGCAATTACTAAATCAAAGTAGTTTAATTATTATAAAAAATTAAATTTAGAGAAAAACATTTGTGCATATATTTTGTAAAACATTTATACACAATATTTTAGTTTAAAGTTATTTACATAATTAAACTAATTATATTAATAAATAATATTAATGTAAATTAAATATTTTAGTCTGTTCATTTTTTTACAAATTGTTCATCCTTTTATAATACTAGAGTATATATATAGATATAGAAATAGGTCTCTTGACTTTGAGTTACAATTATACCTTATTATATCTTCTCATATCTTAGAAAATTATACATATCCTAATTTATTGGTTATTTAACATAATTATATTTTATTGGTGATTTGGTGAGTTTAGAGAAGTTTGCGTTGCAGTTGGCGGTACCAAAAAATGTGGCAACATTGATCGAACTCTGTTATACATCAATTATGTGTATTCTTTGCTATATAGTCATTTATTTATTTGTACTGACTTATTTTCGCTTGTATTAGTACTTTCTATTATATGTTGTGAGGCATTTTTCAACGACGCTAATATTTATTTAAATTATGGTAGAGATGATTAATGGCCAGTAACGACCACAGTTGATTCAATATTAATTTCAAACACAAACATATCATTTATTTTTTATACATATATATAAATAAATATTAATTATTTATAAAATAAAAAGTACCAAATATTGTGTAAATTTGTTCTTAATACACACGAGTAAGGGCATTCGCATTCATTTAATCACAACTTATACTCTCTCTCATCTACATATCTTTTCACTGAATATATCTCCATTTAAACAGTTTTCTACATNTTTTTTTTTTTTTTTTTTTTGTCGAACGATAGATAATATTCACTCACAAAACTGAGAAAAGCGTCTTACAATCGGTGATCCACTGATCACAAGAAGGCATAGAAGTAAGAGAACCTTACACCTAAGCATTAGCAATGCCATTCATGGCTTCACCGAGATGAAACAGCCTCAAGTCCAAAGAAGAAACTTGAAATGAACATGATACAAATAAGTCTGCTAAAACGAGGATATTATCAGCAATGTTTTTCTTCACACCAGCAAAGCAATGAGTGGTCTTCAGGTGCAATGCAGAGGCTTCATCATCAAGGTTCACCTCAAGCTCCTTCCAGTTCTTCAGAAAAGCAATCCATAAAGCATGCTGTACACCATGAAGAATTGCTTCTAAATCATTTAAATGCAAATATATGAGACCTACTTATCCACTCATTTAATTAAATATTGAATTAAATATTAAAAAAATAAAAAATAGCACCAATTGCCCATTCAATGGAATGACTGGTTAAAAGAAGGCCCACATCCGTTTAAACGTCCCCCTCCATTTAAATAGGCCAAAAAAATTGACGAACGTGGATGCCCTATTGTCATTTACCAAGGGTCATTAATTTATATGTACTCTTTCTACCCATTTTTTCCCTATATATCTTTCACATTTTGCTTGATTATCTAACAGGAGCACACAGGGAATATATAAAATAATAGCATGATGAAGGTAAAAATTAAGAATCACAGTCTGGTTAAAAGATGTTTCTACTTGCTCATCATATGCTTTTTCCCAATCCTTCTCGCTGCTGGTGATCCAATCTCAATCCGAAATGTCAAATGCCCATTTGATTATCTGTACCATTTTGGAGATGGGGCCACCGACACCGGAAACTCCATTAGACGTCAGCCATTCGGCCCTTTCTTGCCTGCCGCACATTTGCCTTACGGTAGAACTTTTCGTGGTCAACCTACTGGTCGTTGGTCAAATGGTCGTGTCGAATTTGACTATACAGGTAACAACCAATAAAGATTTTTGACATGTGATTTGTGACACGTGGACAAGATGTGTCAGTTTTTGACATGGAACGATCAGTTATAATTTGTATATAGTATGTTTTAGTTATAATATCTATCAATTTATATATAAAAAAAAAAAAAAAAAATCTTACATGCCTATGTTTTGCAGCTTCATATTTAGGCCTGACCAATAATGTACCATATTTGGCAATTAATAATCGCGGAACAAACGACAGTGGAGTCATCTTTGCAGTGGCGAGAAGCCCAGTGCTCGATACTTCATTCTTCACTGAAAGGAGCATTCAAATTCCACCTTATGTCGTTCCTCTTAGCAATCAACTTATTTGGTTCAAAAATTACCTCAAAACTATATGCTCAACACCCCAAGGTAAGTGAATATAAATATATAAATATTAAACTTTGATCGTGTTGATTCGTCTATGTTTTAATTTTGGTCTAATTCATCACTTTGATTAATTGTTGTATCTTGCAGTATTATTATTACTACATATGTTAATACATAGTGAAAACATTATTGTAAAATTTAGTTGCTATTTTGGTTAATTGAGATTCTACCATTTAATTTACTACACAAATTTTACAGCTATGAATGTTTTTGCATGGCCTTAATTTGTTGATAATTAATTAAAATAATAATTTACTAAAATTCGATGTCTTTGCGTGGTATTAGATTGCAGAGAGAGGCTAAGAAATTCCCTATTATTCATGGGCGATAATGAGGCGAACGACATCGGTTATGCATTAGTCCAAGGCATATCCATCCAAGAAGCCTCCACTTACATCCCAACTATTATCCGTGCCATTATAAATGCTACAATAGTACGTAACTAGACCGAGTACATATATTCTAGACATTTTGGATTATATGTACAACCAAAAATTAAAAAAATAACAACAATAATAATAAAATATAAAATATTCTAAAATTGCAAAAGCCAAATTGTTGTTAATACTATGATTTTAAGAACGGACCAACCATTACGAATTTGCTTTCTATTACTGAATATTAGGAACAAATAGTTTCATTAATTTCAAATTTGGTTTCTATTACTGAATAATTAGGAACAAATAGTCACGTTTCTTTTTTGAAAAATCGTTAGTGATACGGAACGAAATCCGTCTCTGAGCATCAACACTACTATTTTCACTAACCAATAATGTAACAGAATATAATTGTTTCTATTATTTATTGGTAACAAAAATATGTCCTATTGCATCACAATTTTCCGTTATTGAATTCTCCTAGTAGTGAATTGTTTGATTTATGAGTACTTATTTTTGTTATTATGGACTAGAATGTTTTTTTTTTTTTTAATTGAATTTAAAAAACAGGAATTGATCAACATGGGCGCAAATCGAATAGTAATTCCTGGAAGTGGGCCCCTTGGATGCTACCCCTACATGCTCACGGCCTTACCCGACACCAATCCCTTTGCCTACGATCTTTTTGGCTGTCTCAAGAGCGTCAATAATCTCATAATCTCCAAAAACGCAGCCCTCCAAGCCGAAATTTTGAAGCTCACTTTGAAATTCCCCACCACACAAATATTATATGCAGACATATACAAAGGCGTTACAACAGTCTTGCAACAAGATTTTTCCTCAGGCAAGTTTTTTGTTATATCATCAAATATTCTTATATATTAAAAGATATAAATATTTTAGACTTACGGTTACAAAAGTATATTTAACAGGGAACTTGACACTAAAAGCGTGTTGTGGAGTTGGCGGGAAATATAATTACAGCAGCACAAGGTTTTGTGGTAGTCCAGGAGTGCCCGTTTGTCCCAATCCGAATCAATATATCTATTGGGATGGCTTACATTATACACAAGAGGCTTATTTTCGCTACCTTCAACCTCTCGTCTTCCCGACTCTCATAGCGCTCAATTGCACATTCATTTGAGCAAGTGTTTTAGTATGTTGAAGAGAAATTTGGGTCAGCTGTCATTATGAAGTTGATAAGTTATTGCAACATTAATTGGCCGTATAATACTAAAACCTTGTATCTATATATATATAATAAGAATTAACATTTATAAAAAATAGTAGCAAAAAAATAGTCAGAATTTAATGCAGCCTATAAATAGTAAGTTTTATTATTTTTTTATTTTTTTCCTTAAAAATCATACAATATTAAATGTTACCTTAAATTTCAAGCTTTATTTTATTATTTAAAAAATCCGACTGATATTTATTAAGTGTGTATGTTTTTATTTTTATTTTTTTCTTAGAAACAACGAACAATATTAAAATCTCGGTCTCTATATTTATAAAATCTTAATTCAAAATATAACAAAAGTTTTAGAATCTCGGTCTTTATATTTGTGTCTTCTAAAAAAAATTGAACGTCTAAAAATATTCTTTAAATTGCATAATCAATCAATTAATCTTAATTTTTTAAAAATTACTATGCTTATTTTTTATTATATGCATAAAATAAAATAATTAATTCATCTTTAGATATATAATTTATAATCTTAATATACTATCATTTGGTGTAGACATTCATTATATGAATCATAATATATTTTTATTTCATAAAATTAAATATATTTAAAGAAAATAAGAAAATTTCTTCGGATCAATCGGGTGATTGAATTAGGGTACTGCCCAGGTTGATTGAATTACTTTTATGTGATATTTAAAATAGTCAAAAAACTTGACACAACTTGGTTGGTCTCAAGTAACTAAGTTATGTATCAGTTCGACCACACCAAATCGATTATTGAACCTAAATATAAATTTTATATTGAAAATATTTTATTACGTGAATGTGATGTAGTCAAAACTTCAAATAATCGTATTAACAATACTTTTATGACAACATGTTTAATGATTTATGAATATTTATATATCATTTTATTAATATTTATGTGAATTAAATAATATTTTATTATAATATTTATTAATGTATAGTAAATATAAGGTTTTCAAACAATTAAGTTATTTTATTAAATCATTTGTGGTTTGTTTAGATTTTAATTTATAAACAATTTAAAATATGTATATATATATATATAGTATTTTTTGTAATAAATTTAAATAAAATGTGTTACTTACATATCTAAACAATTTATAAATTCAAGTGTTTAAACAAATTGATAAATAATTTATAAATCTCTATTTTATTTAAATATGTAGTTTTATTTAAAATAATTTTAAATATAACAAAATTTATTTCGAAAATCGTATCGATCCTACCAGTCCAACCGACTGGTGTTGACGGATTTGAGAGAAAATATTTTATTCAAGCAAACTAGACTGGTTATAAACCGGTTCTCAGTCCATCCGGTCGGATTGTGTCCAACACGGTTTAATTTAAAAACAATGGATAAATTATGATTAATATTATTTTATATTTAATTTATAATACAATCTTAATATTGTTTTTCCGTGCGATGCACGGGTCACACACTAGTAAAATATAATACATGGAAGAATAAGTTGCTGCTATTACCATAGCCTTTTGGCTTTAATAAAGAGTTATCTTACGTGGACATATGAAATATCATACATTTTAACAGGAGTATTTACGTGGTTTTGGTAATTTGAATCAGAGATGGTACTTTACCTAATATTGGAGCACCTTTTAATACTTAATCTATGCACATGATTTAAAAAGAAAAAAAAAAAATATATTTAAAATCATAAGTTAGATAATGAGCATGATCATATTTTATAAACATGCGGCTCAAAGAATGTGCAATTTCTGGCCACAAGAAATTGAACACAGGGCCTCGGTATATGTATTTTTTCTCACAATACTTATTGAAAAATGTTCGGTGGCAAACATCTTACTCACCCTTGATCCACTCCATGCCACGGAAGCGGATCGCGATCTACTTATTGCGCTAAATCCTTGTTTTTTCTATTTCTTTTATGACTGCGATCAAAATATAAGGATTTTACTCTATTGCTGGGGTTTTTCTTATTTGTTTTTAGTTTCGAAAAGTGAATGATTAGCAATTAAATCTTACAATTCATGAGTAGTTATAATGGTGGTATATATACATCGATAACTAATGTAGGTACGTATATGTCATTTCTCTAAGTTTTTTACGTGAAAAATCAGAAAATCAAAGATGTGCGTACACTATGTGAATAATATGCGAAATATTTTTTTTTTTCGGGATATGCAATTTATGATATGGATCAACGAAAAGATGTTCTATCCTCCTCAATTATGTGACTTTCGATTTGGAATTGCAATTCTTAAATATGCGAACATATTACGCATAATCGTTAATTTTATGACGCCATAGATTTGGATATGAGAGTCGTAAACTATGCGAACATTTGCCGCGTAATCATAAAATATGTGATGTTCGATTTGGATATGCAATTCTTGAATATGCGAAAAGTTATTGCATATAGTAAATTAAGCGGTGAATTTGAATATGTGAGTAGTAAACTATACCGCATAATATAGAATATATATAATGCAACTTTTGATATAGATATTCTATTCTTGAATATATGAAAATTAAAGTTCTCGCTTATGGTAAATTATGCAGTAGACTTGAATATGCAATTCATAAACAATGCGAAAATATGTCGCATAATATAAAATATACGGCGTTCGATTTGATTTATGCGATATAGGAATATGCGAAAAGTTCTCGCATATGGTAAATTATGCGGTGGATTTGGATATGCGAATCGTAAATTATACGAAAATATGTTGCATGACTTAATATATGTGAATATGGAAAAAGTTCTCGCATATATGGTAAATTATGCAGTAGATTTAAATATGCGAGTCATAAGATATGCGACAATATGTCGCATAATCATACAATATGCGACGTTCGATTTGGATACGCAATTCCATTATATGCGTAATTGCTCAACATACTTGTTAACTATGCGTCCAATTTGGATATGCGAGACGCAAAATATGTGAATATTTGTCGCATAGTCGTAGAATATATGTGGCTATCAATTTAGGTATGCGATAACTATATATGCGAAATAATTTCGCACAACAAATATTGCGGTGGATTTACGGTGAATTTAGATATGCGATTAATGAATATGCGAATGTATTTTGGATAATTGTTAACTATGCATCCGATGTGGATATGCATTAGTATTAATGCATATCCACGACGAAATCTCGTATAATTATTAATTATGCGGTTGGTTTGGATATACGATTTTCATGTCACATATAGTTTCGTGAACTATAGGTTGAAAAAAAAAAATGCATACAAATTTTTATCCCTTTTTCTATGTTTACCTTACAGATTTTTGCTAACATGGAGATGCGGATAACTGGCCGGGCCGGCCATCTCTGCCAAATTCTACAATGACCATCGTACTTCGCCTCTTTCCCCGCGCTCCCTTTCTCTCTCATCATGGAGCGCCAACCACCTCTCTTTCTCTCTCTCTCTCCCTGACCTTTTCTATCGTTGCTCCACCATTCACTCTCCTTCCCTCCCAAATTTTCCCCTCTTTCCTCTCTCTAACCTCCAAACAAAAATCTCAAAACAATACACTCAGTCCCCCCAAATTCCACCACAGAGAAAATGGACGACCGCCTAAGAGACGCCGACCGGTCGGCCCTGGCCGGGATGCCCCAGTCCCCGCCGCACCGGAAGGCCCATTCCTACAGCCAGCAGCTGACAAGCACCAACACCAACCTCAAGCGCGCCCAGAACCACCCGCGAAATCACAGCCTCGACGAGATCAACCTCCTCACCAACAACGGCCTCGTCACTTCCCCGGACAACTACGAAGACTTCGATCGCTTTACCAACACCACAGCCGGCGTTTCCAGCAACCACCTCGTCGAGGCGAGCCACATGACGGAGGGAATCGGGATGGGTGACGACGAGTGCGGGTATGACGAATCCCAGCGCCTTCCAAGGCAGCCGTTGCCGGAATTTATGGGCACCGGCGGAGGAGTTGGGGTGTATAAGGTGCCCGTTAGGGCAGCGGTACACCCGAGCCGTCCTCCGTGTCTCGAGATCAGACCACACCCTCTCAGAGAAACTCAGGTTTGATTAGGTTTTGATGGATTTGTTCTGTTATTGTTTCATTTCTCAGTTATGTTTCTTTGTTCTGCCAAATTATAGGAAGGGCCATATGTGTTGTGCCCTTTAAGCACATTTGTGCACAATTTGCATGAAAATGGAATTAGTTTATGCAGGTGGATGAGAATTGAGAAGCCAAACCTTTTTTTACAGGGTGGCAGGTTTATACGGACGATTGCAAGCACGGAAACACAATTGTGGGCAGGGATGGAATCCGGTGTGCGAGTGTGGAACTATTCGGATGCATACGAGCCAGGGATTGGGACTGGAATTGGGTGTGGAAGAAAGGTTCCGAGAGGGGACGAGGATGCTGCCCCATTTTATGAATCGGCAAACTTGTCACCCACGTTGTGCTTGAAGATCGACCAAGGGAGTAAGCTTGTATGGAGCGGGCACAAAGATGGTAGAATAAGGTCTTGGAAGATGGATCAGAGTTTCTCGGACGGGACTGCTTTCAAGGAGGGTTTCTCTTGGCAGGCGCATCGGGGTCCGGTTCTTTCCCTAGAGATTTCTTTTTACGGTGAGTCTCTTTGCATTTGAGTAAAGTGTTCGCCAGATGATGAATTGAATGCAAATCATGCTTGGGTGGTTACAAGATAGTTTTCTTGTATATAAGATTACTAGATTTACTTAAGGAAGACAGTGGTTTCATTTCCTTGTCTATATGTACATTTTTGAGTGTTCAAACAGAAGTTCTTTGTTTGGAAATCCTGAAACTTTTGTGGTGCACCATCTGATAACTTGTACATTTCTACCACGGTATAGTTGAACTCTTTTTTGTTGTTACGTATTAAATGTGAGCTTGTTTAAAACTATTCATGTTAAGATTACTTTATCTGCCTATATACCGCTTCAACTTGCAATTGATGAGCTTGTTACGTATTAAACGTAAGATTACTTTTNTCTGAGGGCGGTGTTATAAGGGTGTGGCCGTGGGAGTCCATTGAGAAATCTCTTTCTCTATCATCCGAGGAAAGACGCATGGCTGCCGTGCTGGTGGAGAGATCAGTCATCGACCTGAAAACCCAAGTAACAGTTAACGGAGTATGTAACATATCATCTTCGGACGTGAAATGTCTGTTATCCGACAACGTCCGGGCCAAAATCTGGGCCGTTGGGTCTTTATCCTTTTCCCTTTGGTATGCCATCTCACGTAACCTCCGTACTTTGACATCTTACAAATTCAAACCACTTCAATTTTTCTTCAATTTAAATTTTCAAAGATTAACTATTGTGTAATATCAGGAACGCGCGCACTAGAGAGCTTATAAAAGTATTCAACATTGAGGGCCAGGTTGAGAACCGGGTGGACATGCCGTCATCTCAAGACCAGGCAGTAGAGGACGAGATGAACGTGAAGTTTGTCTCGAAATCCAAGAAGGACAAAAGCCAGGGGTTCTTGCAGAGGTCCCGCAATGCCATAATAGGCGCGGCCGACGCTGTCCGCCGTGTGGCCAAGGGCGCTGGAGCCTTTGTCGAGGACACCAAAAAGACCGAAGCCATTGTCCTATCAACCGATGGTACCATTTGGACCGGATGTTCTAATGGCTTACTCATCCACTGGGATGGCAATGGAAATCGCTTACACGACTTCACCTGCCACCCGAGCCCTGTCCAGTGCTTCGTCACCCATGGGTCACGTGTGTGGGTCGGGTACGCTAGCGGGACAATCCAAATACTTGACTTGGAAGGGAACTTGATTGCGGGCTGGGTGGCATATAATGAGCCTGTCGTGAAAATGGTAATTGGGAACTTTTACGTTTTTAGCCTGGCGACACACGGGGGTATACGAGGGTGGAACATCTCTTCGCCAGCGCCAATTGATAACATCTTGCGAGCTGAGTTGTCGGAAAAGGACCATATGTACATGACGAAGAAGAATGTGAGTATTATGATAGGGACATGGAATGTAGGACAGGGCCGGGCAACGCATGGTGCGCTTATGTCGTGGTTGGGTTCGGCAGTGTCCGATGTTGATATTGTGGTGGTTGGGCTGCAAGAGGTTGAGATGGGTGCAGGTTTCCTTGCGATGTCTGCAGCAAAAGAAACTGTAAGCCTGTGAATTACCTTTATTATTATTATTATTGTTATTATTATTATTATTTGTAGAAATGGGGATGATTAGAAAAACTACAATGAGGTCTAGGGTAGTGAGTGTATCTTTTAAAATTACGAATATCCTTTCCGAAATAGTAAAATGGAAATATGTCAACGAAAGTATTCCTAACTATCCTTTAACAATTAGCAAAAGAAAACTTTTTTTTGAGAATGTAGTTTCTTTAGCATTAGACCCATGTTTTGTTTTCTTATTGCATTGCTTAAGTATACTTATTCAGTAATCTTGGTTATGATCATAAGTATTTCATGTTTCTTTATCCTTCCATTTGAGAGTGCATGACTTGTATTTTCTTTTATAACATCTACATTTTATTTTAGGTAGGACTAGAAGGAAGTTCTGTGGGACAATGGTGGCAGGATCACATTGGCAAGGCCTTGGATGAAAGATCTACTTTCGAGCGTGTAGGTGCCCGGCAGCTGGCTGCTTTGCTTATAGCAATTTGGTATGGCATCACGCTTTATCTACTTTTACAGAGTCATAAAGCTTATACATTGGGACACTTCATGACATTAGCATATCTCACGAGGTCAATGTTTTATCTCGTTTGATCATTGTTAAAGGATATGTGGTTGATAATCCTTCTTTCAGGGTGAGAAAAAGTATTAGGAAACATGTTGGGGATTTAGATGTTGCAGCCGTAGCATGTGGCTTAGGTCGTGCAATTGGTAATAAGGTAACAATATGTTGCATTGCCGGCTTGAGTTTAGTTTGTTTCTATAATTTTGTTTATATGGCAAACTTTCCTTGTGGTTTAGGCTTAATTAAGCATGGCCAAAATATACTGCTGGCTTCATATCTTGCAGGGAGGTGTAGGTTTAAGGTTGAGAGTATATGATCGAATTATGTGTTTTGTAAATTGCCATTTTGCTGCACATTTGGAAGCTGTTAACCGTCGAAATGCCGATTTCGAACATATATTTCGAACTATGACTTTCACTCGGTCATCAAGTTTGTTTCACAATGCTGGTGGTAAGCTGCTTATTCTTGACTGCTTGTTATCCTCCATATGCTTATTTTCAATTATTCATTATAACGGCTCACCATTGATCCCATTCTCCTGTTTCACAGCTGGTGCTTCATCAGGCAATCAGATGCCTCGCGGTGGAAATGTATGAATTACTGAATTTCAATTGAATTGGCATATTCTCTTCTGTAAATTATAAAAGTTACACTTGAGACTCAGACTATTTGCTTTTGGAAAAATTACAGGATTCCTTGAACCATTGGATTTTCTTTTGTAATTTGCCTACTAAACTGTTATTTATTTTTGGTTGCACTTTACCCTGTGTTGTGTCTGCTGTTCATGACATGCATCCTTACATGATAGATATTACAACCCAACCTTCCGCCAATCCCCACACCCATAACCCCAAATAAGAAAAAAAATAAATAAACAAAAATTAATGGGCTACCTCACAGTGTAGGGTGCTCAGTGTAATTCACCCTTAAAATGAAACCTAATTTACCTTCTTATCATTATAATCCTCTTGAGATATATTCGTATTTCATATGTTCACATTTTCTGGTTATTTGTAGAACAAATACAAAACCTCAAGAGGGTTATGTACTCTAAAGATAGTATTTTTTCCTTAACTAGGGACTTCTCCCACTTGAGGCCAAAGTAATGGTTTTCATTTAACTAAAACAGGCTTCAGGAGCTAATCCTGATGAAGGGAGGCCTGATCTTTCCGAATCTGATTTGGTCATTTTCACCGGTGATTTCAATTATCGTCTGTTTGGCATAACTTATGATGAATCAAGGGACTTGGTCTCTCAAAGAAGCTTCGACTGGCTTCGAGAGAAAGATCAGCTGAGAGCAGAAATGAAAGCTGGTAAAGTTTTCCAAGGAATGCGGGAGGCCATCATCAGATTTCCTCCCACTTACAAGTTTGAGAAAGGCAAACCTGGTTTAGGAGGTAATACCATGCCCTCACTAAATGAGAAAATAATGGAAATATTGTAAAGTTTTTCCTCAATGGCAATTGTTCTATTCAGAATTATATATATATTTTTTTAATTTTAAATAGGTTATGATTCGGGTGAGAAGAAAAGAATCCCAGCTTGGTGTGACAGAGTCCTATATAGAGATAATAGGACAGACCCGACAAAAGAATGCAGTCTGGAATGCCCAGTGGTTTCCTCCATTTACCAGTATGTTATTGATTTCAGTATAATATATAACTGTTGTTATATTCAGCCTTATTACGAAAATCTGCACCTTATCTTTTCAGTAGACCTTGGTCCTTGAACATTTGTCAATTGGCAAATGGATAGTTTTTACCATGCTAATTTGGACAACTTGGATATATGTTGTTCCAACATATAGAATTTCACGTCTGTCCAATTTCGAGAAATAAAGAACAGAATTACAGGTACAAATCAAATTAATTGTTTACCTTTTAATAAGAGGAAAAACCACAGTTTAAAGGAGGTCGCTTAGAAGACACTCTCTGATAATCTAATCTAGAGGTTGAATAATTATTCACTTTTAGTAAAGTATCTAATACATCACACACTCATTTTACCATGACTTGATATCTTACGGAAGGTTTATTTTCCTTGTTTCATAAATCATATTATTTAAGTTACGAGGCCTGCATGGATGTGACTGAAAGTGATCACAAGCCAGTACGGTGCAAGTTGAATGTGGACATTGCACATGTGGATAAATCCGTGAGGAGGCTGGAATTCGGGAAAATTCTTCACTCAAACGATGCAATCAGATCGAATCTCGAAGCTTTACGCTTTGTGCCCGAGACAATCGTTAGCACCAACAGAATATCCCTTCAGAACCAAGACACATTCAACTTGAAACTAACCAACAGGAGTGGGGAGGAGATGGTCTTTTACCAAATTATATGCGAGGGTCAATCCACCATCAAGGAGAATGAATCAGAGATCGATTACCGGCCAAGAGCTTCCCATGGCTTCCCACGTTGGCTTGAGGTAGTTTTGTATACCCCTTTTTGTGTTCCTTTGCGATTGTGTATTGCATCTCGCATTGAAAAATGAACATGTCACTTGCAGGCGTATCTGAATCTTGAGAATTCATTTTTTGTTCCATAATTCATGAGAAGGCTCAAACTGAGTCAGCTCCTTTTACAAAAAATATGCTCGACTTGCAAATATTGGGAGCTATAGATTCTTTGTCGAAATTCTTCTTTGGCTGACCCTGTATGTAGATCATATCGATATTGAATCGAAAGTGTTATTTGTCTCTTACACTCTTACCTTACAGAATAGCTATGGATAGCCTAATTAATTCTGTCATCTGAGTTAATTACACTCTTTTTTTTCTTTTAAGAGTAAATTGTAATTTTAGTCCTGTATGTTTCACTACCCTAACTTTTTCGTCCTCTTCGAATTGTTTTTTTTGATTGTCGTCCCTTATGTTTGCAAAAAGGTTACAAAAAGGTCCCCGAGCATACATAAGGTACGGAATTGGAACATTTTTTGCAAAACATAAATGACCTTTCTGTTGCGAAAAAAGACCTTTTTGTAACCTTTTGCAAACATATGAGNTGTGCTTTTAATGTGACATTTTTGAACTGCCAAATAGGTGACACCTGCAGCTGGCTTGATCAGACCGGATCAAGTGGCGGACATATCCATACATCACGAGGAATCCCACAAACTCGAAGAGTTTGTGGAGGGAATCCCTCAGAGCTGGTGGTCAGAGGACACCCGTGACAAGGAACTCATATTGTTAGTTATTGTGAGGGGCAGCTGCTCGACCGACTTGAAAACTCACCGAGTACACGTGCGCCACTGTTTCTCAGGGAACTCACTCCGTATAGACCTGGGAAGTAACGTTTCTAGAAGGAACGAAGGCAGTTTGCATCAGAGGCCGGCACATTTGAGATGAGGTTAATATTAGCATATACCTAAATTCGATATATGTTGAGGGAGGATGCATGTATGTGCACGCATTGTTTGTTTACGGATTTTTTATTTTTATTTTTTGAATTAAAACAAATAGGGAATATATATTTTTTTGGTTCCAATATCAAGGACATAGAATTACGAAATTGTAGAATTTTTACGCTTTTATATAGCTAGATCGACGTCATTGAAATTAGGGACTGAGAGAGAATTCTTGATTTTATTATATACTGGGTCGTGTAGAATATGTACATAATTGCAAGTTTCAACATTCAAGTGACAGTTCAGATTGAATATGATATTTGGTATCACTGTCCCAGATCTTGCAAGACTTCTGTTTTAATAATGGTGTGGCATAATGTTGTGTATTTGATGGGATAACATCAAATTTAAATTCTATATTTGAGGCCAACAACATTGTTAAAACAGGTACAGTCCTTCTCCCACTCCAATCCAATCCTGTTGCTGTCTGTAGCATATGTTTTACTTGATTGTGTACCTTACCATAGTGTGCTATTGGCCTTTGCACTTTGAAGGTAGCCTTTGAATTTAGAAGTAGAAGCATATAACAGATATTTGGTTAAGGGAAAAACTTATGGCTATTAATTTTTTCTGCGTTTTAAAATTAGAAGCCGGTCAAAGACAGACAGAAATGGACTCAATATTAGCACAAGAAAAACGTATCTTTGTTATAACACGTATTAAACCAAAGATACTAACTCCACCATTCAGAACAGTAGAATTACATGGGTTACATCCAATTATACTGTGTCCTTACATGTTGGAGCTGATCTTCATTACTAGGAAATCATGAAGAAAATAAAAAACTTTCCTAGTTTTGGGTAGATACATTTAACACCTTCATTAGTTTTTATTTATTTTTTTTTTTTATTTTTTTTTTTTTAAGTGTAGAAAACGACTTTTCATTCATCGTCTTTTTTTCTCTTTACAAACAATTTTCGGGCATGATCACGCCACCGGTAGTTCCGCCAATGTTTTTGCAGAAAGATTGTGCCTTTCTTGAGCTTAAAAAAGTGACTTTTATGTCACTCAGTTTGATGCCTGTGCATGGAGTGGTGGGGCTACAATCAAAAGCCATGGCAACTTGTGTTGCTGATGTTCCTCTAATATTTTCGTATGTCACTTCACTAATCTTTATTCCAGAACTCTGCATAAATCAATTAGGGTAAAAATATATTAATATAATTGTCTTGAGAGTCATCACACAGAAAATAATAAGAGAAATGAACAGTAAGTATACAGTATACTTGCTTCAAATCATCCTTTTTATTTTGAATTTTCCGAATTGAATGTATTGGAATGAGTAAATTTAATCATATCATTAAGATGAATGGAAAAAAACACTATAGAAACAGATAATGTAATGTTCTACTTACCTGGAGAGGACAGCCTTGGTTATTAGGGCAATAATTTTGGTCTATAATAATTGGGTTCTCAACGCTGTTCATAACAATGTTCCGATAGTTGATATTTCTGACAAACCCTCTGCTGGGCCTGGCCCATGTTTTGATCCTCAGCCCATTATCTGACCCAGTGAAAACCGAGTTTACCAACGTCACATTCTCAACACCATCCTCGTTGAAATCTCGGCCCAAACTCCCAATACTATCAAAATTTATTTTTTTTAATCTCACATTCATAGGGAAGAAATATAATTTAGTATTTGGTTAAACAAATTGAAATCGTAGATTACCTGATTCCATGTCCTGGGCCACATTGTATTTGGTCCATCCACAAGTTCCTTGTGCCAGGCCCAATTGATATACAGTCATCGCCTGTTTTAATGATGGTATTTGTAATGGTAACCCCAGTTGAGGACTGCACATGAATTCCATCTGTGTTGGGGCTTAGGTTTGGAGCTATGATCTTCACATTACTCACCTTCACATTCTTGCAGCTATTGATCACAAGGTGCATTAGCTGGCTATTAATCGAGGTTAATCCAGTAATCGTGGCGTCGTTAACCCAATTAAACGTAACCGACTGCAGATTGCAACAAGATCAAGTTAGTCGACTTGAAATGCGAAAGTATGAGGCAGCCTAATGCTTAGGCGGATTGACCTATCCTATTTTTTGAAAAAAAAAAAAAAGATACATATTTATACTATGATATATTATGGTTTGTTTTATGTTATTTTTAAAGTATATCACTTGTGTATGAAAGTATGCCTATTTATCAAAAACTTATTAATGTCTAATGGTTAGACGTGCCGCACAATAGTCCTATCTTATATTAGTAACATTGTCTTCTTAATTTTTATAAGATCGCTCTTATTGGACTTCATTTTCATATTTTTGCGAGCCCCTTAATACAGATATTATCCAATTAGTTAAATGTAACAAATTAACTGAAAAGCTGATCACGAGAAAATTAAATGTGATTATTGACAATAATCATCGACAATTTAGTATCCTAATTAGTAACTCGCAACTTTCTAAGTTTGTAAGCTTAACAAGAGGTACATTGTCATTAAAACCTTGTGTAAATTATGCAGACACTAAAGAGTACTAACAATCCAGTCAGTCAAGTGGCTAAATAGCTATGGCTATGATCACAAATTTCAACCTTAGGTTAGTTAAGTTACCAAATTCAAGTTGCAATAGTATCAACTATCCAATTAAATTCAAATTTGAAGATTTTCTGCCTACGTATAGCTAGTATACTAGCCATTGACCTAAAATAGTAAAATACTACATTAAATTAACAAGAATCATAGTCAAAATAGACAAAATTACCCTTGCCCCGACTGGACAATTCTGGCCGGAAGCCCTGCATGCCCAAAATCCGGCCCCATTGGCATCAAGTGATCCTCCAATAACACTAAGACGATCAATCTTAATGAACAATATCCAATAACCGGGATTTTCTAGAGCTCGATAGTCCATGGGAGCTAAAAGGGTACCGTCTATTTGAAATTTGACGGCCTTTTTGCAAGGTCCCCTGAACTCGGCCGACCTAATGAAATAACGTCCTTTGGGCACGTAAATAGTCGATGCTATCCTTGACGCGCAAGCCGAAGCCCAAGCCTTTAAAAATGGCTGAGTTGAATCACTTTGCCCATCTGGCTTTGCACCAAATTGTGTCACATTAAATGTAATTGCACCTTGTGCAATGCCAAATAAGAAAAAAATCATGAAATTAAGGAGGAAAAAATTTGAAGAAACTAGGGAAACCATATATGTGTCTTTCTATATGATGCAAGAAGTAGTTATGTGTGGATATGGTGATGGAAGAAGAGGCAGTTGGAGTAATATTTAAATGGGGGGTTTTGGCTCATTTTTCAACTGTCGATATTTCAGTTAATAGAATCAACAATTAAGTATGTTTTGTAATTAATTGTATTTAATTAAGTTGGAAAAAGTCATAATTGCCTACTTTAGTCACCCATGTGATGATATGTACGGCCTCATGTGATAAGCTATATGTTAGAGTGGAAGTTTTGCACAATGATCATGTGCTGCCTGAAAATGTTGCAAAATGAGAGATTAACAGTATTTGACCCAGAATAAACTTTAAATGCAAGTTGATTAGAATAATTACCATTGGTTCTAAAATATATTGAGGGTGTAAATAATGTTCAACACAATTATTCCACAATCCAATTACCAACACTACAAGAAAATCATAAAATTCCAACGGAAATATATTTCAATAAAATTCCAACGGAAATTCCAACGGATATTTTAATGCTATTATTTCCGTTGGAATAATTTCAACGGAAATTCCAACAAAAATATTCCGTTGGAATGAGTTTTCCATTGGAATTTCCGTTGGACTTTGACGATTCCAACGGTAGATTTTCCAACGGGGGTGGAAATAAAAATTCCAACGGAAATTGCATATTCCAAAGGAAATTCTTACGATAAAAAGCCGTTGGAATCATCGAATTCCATCTAAAATTCTAATTAAAAACACATTCCAACGGAATATTTTCATTGGAATTTCCATTGGAATGATTCCAACGGAAGCTATACCATTGAAATATCCGTTGGAATTTCCATTGGAATATATTACCGTAGGATTTTCCGTTGGAATATAACAATTTTTTTGTAGTGCAATCTAAGGTAATGGATAATTGAAGGTTAACTTTTGTATAATGGATCTAGTATTATTATAAATTCGTTAATTCCCTATACAAATCATAAACAAAATTCCAATTATCTTGTTCATAATCTTCAAACAATTTATTATTATTATTATTATTATTATTATTATTATTATTATTACAAAAGTAAAAAAAATAAAAGGATTGCTAAGTTAAAGAACGCGAGAGATTGCTTGAAATTAAAATTTATTAGTAACTTTTCATAAGTTTGTCAATCTCGTTCAAGTATTATTGGTCTTTCCAATGTTGCTAAATTTAGTAGATTTATTTTTTAAACATCTTCCCTTAACTTTTTAGAAAAGCTCGTTTACGCTATGGTATCCAAGTTCAACTTTCTACAGTATAATTTGCTTCTTTAACAATGAATATATTATTTCTGATAAATTGACATTCCCACTATTTTGGGCCTTTTTTTAGGTTTTGTCATGGGAAAAATAAAAAGAAAAAGTTACAAAACATGTTAGTAATACGATTTAAAAATTTCACCTAATACATGCATAGGAGATTGAAGCCTTCAAGGGAGGTACGTACCTAGTCATGTACTCATGTTTCGTATAATGTGCCCCTTAATTAGTGGTTGAGGATAACGTATATATTTGTACACGGATAATAAAGACAAAAAATTATGTCATTCACTTATAATTTTTTTTTTTTTTTAAATTTTTTACTTTTGTTTTTAGTTACAATTAGCTAACTTTCTTCGTTCATGAATGGTTGATATTTAGTTTATTTTTGTTCCTGAAATTAAGCATGCAATTTCAGCGAATGTGGGAGCGGAGGACGACGTTGTAAATCGTTAGTGGAGGTAATCCATGGCCGCGGTGAAAAGTTGAGTTGTGAGGGAAGAGAGAGAGGCACAGGAAACTGACTCGTGACGGACATGGTTTTTAGTGACTTCAATTGAGAATTTGATAACTCTTGATAACTTAGTAGCAATTTTAGAAATTTTAATATTTTGTAATTTAGTCTTTCGCTCAAATCTATATTGGCTCGATGAAGAGAGACGTGAGCTAACCAATCAGGACCAAAAGACAATGGAATTCACCTCTTACATTGAGTTACCTTGACTGGGCCGGGGTGGGGGCAGATGATATGGGTTTCCATAATGAGTCCACTTGACCCGAGAGAAAATCGGACTAGACCGGGTGAACTGATAAGTCGAACGGAAATCGAAGGCACTACAGATCGAAGAGTCCTCAAGTCGTTGAGTACGCCACAAACCAAAGAG